GATGATTTTTTTATTTTGTTTTTAAAATAAAATAAATTAATTCTTTATTTATAGTAATATTACTATTATAAAATAAACTAATAATAATAGTTTTTAAAATTATTATTATCATCATTGAAACAAAATTATAAAATAATTTTTTATTTTTATATTTTTATATTTTTATATTTTTATATTTTTATATTTTTATATTTTTATTTTCTAAAATACTAATTATAAAAACAGATGATTATTTGTATTAAAAATATAATAAAACATTTATTTTATTTTATTTTATTTTCATTATATATTTTATTTTTATTTATTTATAAATTGTGTATTTTTTATTATATAGTTTTATTTTTTAATTATAAAAGTTTTTTCAACAAATGCTTCGGAATTATCTCTAGAGCTTTGAACTAATTCTGATTTATCACCTTTTCTAAGGATGGCACAGAATGAACTTTGAGCTTCTTTAAATTCGACACCATCAATACCAATATCTGTTAATGCCTTTTGAGCTAATTCGCTTAAACGTGAGAAACCATCACCATTAACAGAGATAAGAACAATTGTACCATCTTTAACTGAATTTAAATAACGAGCTAAATTCTTTGAACGATTGATGAAAAAGAAAACAGAACTTGTGTAGAAAAATTTTGAATCCAAGTTTGAACCTTTTGAATCTAATAAAACAACATTAAAACCAACATTTGAACCGAAATCAATTTCTTTACCATTAATTATAAATTTAGAATATCCTTTTGTTAAACTTGTTTTCTGAAATAAATATTAAAAAAAAAGGAAATAGTAAGTATAAATAGTTTTATGGTTAAATATCCATATCGTTAAATACTTACAACAGATGAATAAACTTTAACATTTAAAGTTTTTTCTTCGCTATCTAAAAGGTTCATACATTTTTCGTGTAATTCTTTATTTTGATTCTTTAAAATTTTCCAAATTGTACAAAGATTACCAATTTCAATGATTGAACAACTTCCAATTTTTTCCAATGATAATATATATTTATCAAAATCATCTCTAAGGGAACTTGTACCACCAAAAACCTTCTTTTCGTCAAATGAACAATTATCAATCGATGTATTTGAATTTGAATTATTTTTATTTACATTGGCACCTAATTCTAAATTTACAGAGTCGTGGAAACTTGTTTTGAAATGGTTTTCAAGGGTTAAACCAAAGGTTTCCTTATCACTCTCAGTGCAGTCTTTCTTGTAACCAGTTGATGAGATTTTACCACCTAATACAAAACGAGTTGGGAAGAATTCTCTAGTTTTAAGGAAATTCTTTAAGGAATTTAAATCTGATGAGGCATCTTCAAGGTCAGAAATAAAACTACTCTTTAAAGTGATGTGTTCTTGTTCGATTCTAATTTCGAGTCTTGAAACCATACCATGGGTATAAGAGTAAACAGTTTTAGATTCCTTTGCTTTTGTTTCATCTTTTTCTACAGATCCTTTATGGGTAGCGTTAACAATGGATTTTAAAGCAAGAGTACCATTCCATGAGTAAAGACCACCTTTATGGGCATTATGTTCGACGGAATTAAATGTTGATTTTGTAATAAAAGTTAAAGTTTCTTGTGGTGGGAAAATTAATGCGTTACTGATATCCCATTGAACTACTTCAGCTCTATCCTCAAAAGTTTCACTATCGATTGAATATCTAAGGGGTAAATTTTTGCAATACTCGTAAATATCTGAACGATTTTCTTCAATATTAATATTTGTTAAGCCTGCATTTTTTGTTGCTCTTTCTTCTTTTTCAGCGTTACTTTCATTTTGGGTGTCATCTTTTGGTTTGTCATCAGTTTTTGGTTCTGTAGTTGAAGTTGATTTAACTGAGGTACTATTACTGACACCTTTAATATTGATAGCTAGTGTTTGAAAATCTTGAGATAATTCTACACCTTGATCCTTAGCAATTGAGATTTGGGTTTTGAAATGAATAGCATTATCGACTAAAGCATCGGAAATCTTTTTGTGTTCTTCGTCTTCAGCATCGATGGCACCATCTTTATCTTCAAATACATGATCAAATGGAATGATGGTTCCAAGTGAACTTCTTAATTCTTCTAAATTTTTATTTAAATCTTTTACTTTGAAATTTAAGAGTTTTGTTCCATCAATGAAAACTGGAATTTCTGTGATTGTATTATTATCTGTCATTTATTAATATTAAATAGTTAGTTTTAAAAAAATTAAAAAAAAATTAATATTTTTTGTGGAAAAAAAAAAAAAAAATTAGATTTTTTAATATTGGTGAAAAAAAAAAAAAAAAAAGATTTTTATATTTTATTTATTTTAATTTTTTATTTATTTATTTATTTATTTATTTATTTTATTTATTTTGGATCTAAAAATAGTGTAAAATACATACACGAAAATGTTAGGGCAGGAGGTTGGTGTTATTTTAAAATATCTATTCTTGAAATGTTGAGGTTATACAAATATATAATATAAATATTTTTTTACTTATAATAAAGATATGTATAGAATTGATTATCTCTTTTATTACTCTGGGTTATACAATTAATGATTAGAAATTCAAAAAAATAAAAAATAAAATTTTTTTTTTTTTTTTTATTTTTTTAATTTTTATTTTTTTATTTTTTATTTTTTTATTTTTATATTTTTCAATTAATACCCCTTTCAAATAAAAAAGTAATAAAACAGTTAATAATTAAATAAATAATTAAAAAAAAGTTATTATTGTTCAAAAATAAATTAAAACTTACAAAAAAATTTAATAATTCTATATAAATACTTCAATATCTGTTTGATTAATCAAATTTCTCAAGAAAGAAAAAGGATAATATAAATTGAAATTAAGATAGTTCCAAATATCATATTAAAAACAATACCATAGAGTTTTTAAATTATATTTGGGTAATCTATTTACAATTGAGTGTTTTTCTTTTTTGTTTGAGAAATACCGTAGTGGCTTTATTTTTTTATAAAGTATTTCGCCATTACTAAAATTATTTAAATAATATCTTTAACTTTTTTTATTCAAGAAATGATAATAAAATCAAAAAATTATTTTCAAATAAAATTAAATTGCATAAAAACAATAATATTTATTTTGGGGAGCTGATTTTTTTTATTTAAACCCTAAAAAATGGGAATCACGGTAATTTTTTTAAATTAACAAATAGGAACAATTAATAAATTAAAAGAATAATAAAAATCAAATCTGAAAATGGAAATATATTAATATAAAATTGGATATAAAGTGAAAGGGGTGAAGTTAATAAAAAATAAAAAAAAAAAAGAAAAATAAATAAAAAAAAAAAAAATAATATAAAGGTTGTGTCTTTTTTAAAAAAATAGAATTCTAAAAAAATTCTTTTAACAGTTTAGATATAATAATAATAATTACAAAAATAATAAAAATAATAAAATAAATAAATCAATTGGTTGTTATTGTGTGAAGTGTGTGCATGATTTTATGTCTTTGTGGGGGCATGTTTTTTAAATCAAATTGTTTTTATTATATATAAAAAGTATTTGTGTGTGTTTATGTGTGCGTGTGTGTATGTGGTTTATCTCAATTTTTTTTATCATTTATTTTTTTTTTTTCTAATTTTTTAAATTTATGTTTCTATATATTTGTGGAGTGTGGGGTTTGTTTTAAGAGAGTTTCTTTGTGCTTTCAAAACCATTATTTTAACATTTAATAACTTTGTTGTTTGTGGTTAAACAAAATATTTTTTTTATTTTTAATTTTATTTTTATATTTATTTTTGTAATTTGTTTACTTGATTTCAAGAAAACATTTAATCAATAGTATCAGATTTAAAAAAAAAAAAAAAAACATTTATTTATTTATTGTAAAATTTTTCTATTTATTTATGTACATATATATATTCACTCATTCATATTGCACAACTCTATAACCACACAGAGTTGTTTTAAAATTATAATAAAATAATATAAAAGTTTATTGTTGAACAACACACACAATAATTATAAAAATAATAAAAACAAAATATTTATTTTTATCATCATTATAATTTTATATTTATTTGTTCTATTTTTATAATTTCATTTTTATAAAATAAAAAAAAAACAAATAATAAAAAATACACAAAAAAAAAAATACAAAATAATATTCAATCAAAAATAAAATTATTTATTTTATAATAAAGTTATATATAACATCATTATAATAATCATTTGTTTATATATAAAATTATAATATTATATTTAAAAATATCAATTTTAAAATTTATCAAATCATAAATAGAGAGATATAAAAGGTAATTATTAAACTAAACCCACATTCAATTATAAAATCAATTTTAAATATGTATGTAATATGGCATATGTATTTAAAATAGATATTATAAAAGATTCATTGATAAATATTAACTTTTTTTTTTTTTTTAAAAATAAATCATTTTTAAATTACGATTAGATTTTTATTTTTTTTAAAAAAACAAATCATTTTTTTTTTTCAATTAATAATTTTTTGGTTATTATAATAATTTGGGATTTTTGTTGGTGATTAAATTAATATCTTCGGAAAAAAAAATAAAAAAAAATTCAATTTAAAAAAAAAAAAGAAAAAAATGAGCCCAACTATAGAAATTCAGTATCAACAACATCCACAAACAGAGCATTACAAACAATATCAAAATCAAAATCAAAATCAAAATCAACAAATTTATATCCACAATTCGAACTATATTAAAAATAATTTAAATAATATAAATAATTTAAAATATTTAAATCATTTAAACATAAAAGAAAAAAATAACAAAAATAATAATTGTTTCAATAATAATTATAATTTTAAATCACAGAGATATTTATTATTAAATAATAGTATAATAAATTATAATATAAATAAAAACTCTTACAATATTAAATTATTTGCAATGGATGATAGATCGACTGAAATATACAATGAGGATATAGAAATGAAAAATGTTCTTTTGGAAATCAACGACATTCTATTAAATGAAAGTAATAATGTAATTATTTCATCCGAGAAATCTATAGGCAAAACAACATGTATAAAGAACTACTCAATGCTCTACAATAACCAGTACGACATCATTTCAATGATACACGATGAAACTATAGAAAAAGATTTATGTACTTTGGGGAATTACATTCAATCCAATAATCCAAATTTGAAATTGTTCGATTACTTTTCAAATATAAACAACTTCCCAATTTTAGATCACGATCAACTATACACCTATTTGAGAGATACTCCAAAGAAATGGTTAATTTTATACGACAATGCAAATAGCTCCAACTTTACTACATTTCAAAAATATATACCCCTGTTAACCGACAACCAAGCCGATTCATCACTCAAACATCATATAATTATTACAAGTAAAGATTTGGATTTAGAAAAAAAGTTTGAAGAGTTTCATGGTGAAATTTTAATGAAATATGATTTAATACCATATTATGAAAGAGAACAATTACAAAAACAAAAAGAACTGGTTCCAGAAACTGAAAGAGTAGATTATTTTTATAACAAGAATGAACTATTAAAAAAAGGAACAATACCAGAAGATACAACGCATCTTGTACTTGGTATGGATTATAATTTACCTATATCCGAAAATACCATCCCAAAATCAGTTAAAGAATTGACCTTTGGTTGGAGTTATAATATACCTTTTGATGGTTTATCCATTCTACCCAATACAATTGTCCATTTAAATCTAGGTTATTCGTTTGATCAAGAAATTTCACCCGGGACACTCCCAAACTCCATTACCAAGCTTGTCTTTGGGGATAGTTTTAATCAAAAATTGGTACTAGGCTCAATACCTCCACATACAAAAACATTAATTTTCGGTAAAAACTTTAATCAAATTATAGAGCCCGGTGTTATACCATCATCTGTAAAAGAAATATGCTTTGGTTGGTGCTTTAATCAAGTGATAAGTAAAGGTGCAATTCCATATGGATGTGTTCAGTTAAAGTTGGGTTATGATTACAATCAATCAATTGATATAGAAGTACTACCAAAAACCCTTCGCCATTTAGAGTTCTCATTTTCATTCAACAAACCCATCCCTGAAAATAGTATTCCATTTGGTGTAGAAACATTGGTATTTGGATCGTCGTTCAATCAAGCAATAAATGATGGTAGTGTTCCAAGCTCAGTTAAGAGTCTTTCTTTTTCTGATGATTTTAATCAATCAATATCAAAAATAAACATACCAATGTCCGTTACAAAATTAGCAGTAGGTAAAAACTTTAATCAGTTATTTAACAATTTATCACCATCCATTACACACTTTACATGGAATAGTGAACATAAATTTAGAGAAGAGCTGCTACCTATGACTATAACCCATTTGGTCTTTGGTGACCATTTTAACAAACCTATTAAAGGTCATTTACCAAATGGTATTGTAAGTGTGGAATTTGGTATTCCTTTCAATCAAGTAATCCCAAAGTCTTTTTTCCCACAATCATTAAAACATCTTTGCTTGGGAAACAGATTTAACAAAGCAATTCCTGCAGGTGTTTTACCATCATCCATCACATCATTAAAACTTTCAACTGATTTTAACCAACCATTAACACAAGGAGCCATTCCATCCTCAGTACGATATCTCGATATGGGTAATTCTTTTAACAAACCAATAACTTTAAAAACAAATTTAATTTTATCATTCTTCAAATTACTAAACAGTAAATCATTAAATAATTTAAAAGAATTAACAAACTTTAATAATAATAATAATAACATTAATAATAATAAAACTAAAGATGATAATGATCTACAGCCATCAGAAAGTCAAAATAACTCAATTTCATTAACACAATCAACACCAAATGCAAACCTATCATTATCAACAAACAATTATGATATTGATGAAGATGAAGATGAAACAAATAATAATGTAAATAATAGAAACAAACAAAGCAGTGAAATAGCCCCCAAAAATCAACAAATTTCTTTTTTTCCATCATCATGTGATGTAATTTCATTAGGTTGGAAGTTCAATCAACATATTGTTCAAGGAAGCCTCCCCAATGGTATTAAGGAACTGACAATTGGTCCATTTTTTCAACATGTTATACAAAAAGATTCTTTACCCCCATCTTTGACAAAAATAAATGTTTTAGGTGGGAAGAGAAGTCCACATTTATTTGAAAATGTTTCAAAAAATATAAAAATAATTTATATTGATTAAATAAACATTATTTTATAAAAAAAAAAAAAAAAACCTTTTTAAAAATAACAATTTTTTAAATAATTTATTCAAAAAAAATTGCAAATAACACAAAAAAAAAAAAACTTTTGTTTAACCAAATCGATCATAATTACCTTTCATTTTACATAAATTTTATAAATTTATCAAAGATATTTAAAGGCTGTTTTGTTCCATGATCAAAATTTTGTTCAATACTACTATCCAAACTTTTAGACTTTTTTTTATTTTGTCGCACAAAATGAATAATTTTTTTTTTTGGGTTTTAAATTTTTTCAATATTTAATCATTTTTTTTTTTTTTTTTAATCATTTCTATTTTTTCAATTTATACTTTGTAATATTTATCTGTAATATTTATTTTATACCTAATATCAAAACAACAATGGGGTTTCACAAATTTATTTAGCACACCATCATCAAAAGGTAATTAAATAAAAAATTTTAAATAAAAAAATAAAAAAAATAAAAAACTAACTAAAAAACTATACAGGAACAATAATCTTTGTATCATCCTCATCAAAAAAAAAGTTCACCAAAGAGTACAGTATCCAGATCTACCTTTTATCTTTAAAATAAAATTAAATAAAAAAATTATTTTATTTCTATTTTTAATACATTTTAAAATAAGGATTTTTTTATTGATTTGAAATTCTATTTAAAGATAACTTTTAAAACTTGGTTCGTGTTTAAAATTGTCACTTTCACCATCTAAATAACGAACTTTTTTATTTAAACCCTCCAATATTTCAGGTGTAAGACCAATAATAGTTGGTACATTGATAAAATAAAATGGTTCATTATCTGTTTCTTCCACACCAATTTTAGAAAAACCAAAAGGATGGGTCCCACATTCGCTACAAAAGTAATGTATATGATTGAATGGTTCAAATTTGTATTCTTTTAATGATTCTTTTTTAATTTCTACCATATCCTTTTCTTTAATTAAAATTTCCCAAAACCTATATACAGAACAAATTGCTATAACAAAAATATTTTATTAATATTACTATTCAAAAATTAATTATTTTTAAATTAATTTTTTAATAACTTACAACAGTTACACTTGTAGCTAATGATATCTAATATATTAGATACATTTAAACTGCATGTGTATTTTACCTTTTTGCAATGACAAGCTCCGTGTAAAACTAATTTTTCTTTTATCTTATTATTTTCCATTGATTGTTACATTATTAAAAAGTGTGTTAAAAAAATTAAATATTTAATTAAAAATTAAAAAAAAAAAAAATTTTAATTTTTTAAATTAATTTATTTTTTAGTTTTAATATTATTTTATTTATTTATTTTTTGTATAATTTAAATTAACAACAGTTGTAATAATTCGACAATTCCAATCACTTTTCAGCAAACTTTTTTTTTTTTTTTTTTTTAAAAATTTAAAATTTTATTTTGTGTATACCACGAAAATTTATTCAGATTTTTTTTATAATTAAAATAAAATAAAAAAAAAATGAAATAAAACAAAAAAAAAAAAAAAAATGATTTAAAATTTTTTTTTTTATTTTTCCATAATTTTTATTTTTTATATTCTCTATTTATCTTTATTTTTCTGTATTATTTTTAAATTTTGTAAAATAACAAACAATGGGTTTCAGTTTTTTAGGATTCAGCAGTTATAATAAACGTAAGTATTTCAATTTTTTTTTAAATGTTTAATTTTTAACTTTGTGTATTAATTTATTGTTACTCTGCATTCTTTTTTAGCAACAACCGTTAGAGTATCATCAAGCTCAAAACGTGGAGGATCCAAAACAAGAACAGTTTTCTCTCTTTAAATGTGCCTTTGGGAAAAACTATTATAGAAGATTGTTAATTATTCATCATTGTAATTAATGAAAAGAAATAATCAATTTTGAAAATTCATCTCAAAAGAAAATTCTTTTAATTTTTTAATTTTTTTATTTTATTAGTTTTTTTAAATAAAGATTACCAACAATTATCAAAGTTTTATAAAACTATAACCCACAGTTTTTTATTATTTCTTGATATTTTTTTCAATTTTTTTTAAATTTTTTCTTTTTTTTTTTTTGTAATCCAATCATGGTTTTTTAATTTATTTTTTTTTCGATTTCTTAAATGATTTTTATATTATTTTTATTTGAGTAGTTTTTTATTATAAAAAAATCATTTTATATTTATCTATCAACCTCTACGGTTATTTTATTGTTTTTAAATTATATTGCTTTATTTTATTAATTTTTATAAAAGTTTATCATCCAAACTCAAACCTTTTTTTTTAAATTAAAAAGTTATTTTTAATTTATTATTATTTTTAATTATTTATTTATTTTTGTTTTAATGGGCAAGAAAAAAACGACTTCGGTCGAGTATATAATTCACTTTATTTTCAGACTTTTCAGATATTCTTTTTTTGGATTTTTAATATATGTTATCCACCTATAATCGATAACTAATTTAAAAAAAATTATTTTTAAAAAGATCAAAAATCGTTTAAAAAAAAAAAATAACAAAAAAAAAAAAAAAAATAAAAAAAAATTACGCCATGAAAATTTTTTACAATGATTGATTAAAATATCTTTGATCACTTTATTTTCACTCCACATAATACCTAATTGATTAAAAAAAAATATCAAATTTTTTTTTTTATATTTTTTTTTATTTAATTTTTTTATAGATGTTTTTTTTTTTTTTTAATTATAAAGACTTCGAACAAAAAAAAAAAAAAAAAAAAAAAATAATATTGTTTTTGTAAAAATTCTTAAAAAACGATATAAATAATAAATAATAAATAATAAATAACAAAATAATTATAAAAAAATGAATAAATTAAAATTTTTAATTTTAATTTTATTACCCACTTTAATTTTATTAATTGGTACTGTTTCATCATTAGAAACTACCATTCAAGTAGAATCAATTAAATCTTCAAATACTACAGTTAGAAAATATACTCAGTTTAATATTACTGCTCCTGTTAATGATTCTTTTGTATGCGATGTTACCTATACTTTACCAAAGCAAAACGATACCGAATGTAAATATGAATGTGGTAAATTTTATTATAGAATTGAAGAAGATCCAACAAATATCAATAAATTCTATTTTTGCCCTACCAAGTATCTTGCATGCAGAGACAATAGTACCGTTCCTTTTAAACCCCTTTCTTTATGTTGGTCTGTTACCTGCTTCCCTAACAATGCCTCTGTTAAAGTCGATACTACCTATACTGTCCTCTGTGTTGACCCTAATCCACCAAAAATTGTATCGAATTCAACCGATTCCAATAGCTCTAATTCGATAAATAGTTTATTTTCCCAAAATCTATTATTAATTAGTTTTGTAATATTAATTTTTATTTTTTAAAAAAAAAAAAAAAAAAAAAATATTATTAATGTTTTTTAATCCAACATTAATAATTTAGAATATACTTTTGTAAATATTGGGATTTATAAACTCCCCTAACTCTTATAGAAATTATAAAATAATAAAATTACTTTAAAAAAAAAAAAAATTTATATTTTAAAACTTTGTTTATTTAAATGATATAGATTGGATTGAAATTAAAATCATTTGAAAGAAATTTAACACCATCTTCTACCAGAATTAATATCGATATTGATATTAATAATATTGGTAAAACCACCACATGGATTAAAGCATGGATCGCAACATGGATTAAAGCCACAGGAACCTCTATTACCAAACCAAGCAGATTGATTACCAGAGAATAAAGTGAGACCGGAAGAGCTTGTCATAGATTTTTTTGAAGAGATACCATTGGTTGGGTTCATAGATGAGATTGATTCTAAAGAAATTCATTAAAAAAATTAATACATTTATTTATAGTAAATTTAAATGATAATTATTTATAAAAAATATAAAACATACTGATAATAGACATTTTATAATTAATAAGTTTTTTTTTAATAAAGTTAATAAAACTAATGAATAAAAAAAAAAAATTAATTACTTTTATACAAAATAAAATATAATAAATAAAATGAATGTAATCTTAAAAAAATAAAAATGGTTAATATAATTTTCTAAAATATTTTTTAATTGATGCATATTTAAATAATTTTTATTTTTTCATGATTTAAAGGTAATTACCTTCAACTATTTTTTTATAATATAAATATTTGAAAAATAATTTTTTTTATTCATTCAAATTAACAAACAAACAAAAGCTACAATTAATTTTAAAATGTCAATTATTAGTAAATATTCTTTATAAATAATTATTTTTATATTATATAAAACAAAAACATATACTAAATTTTTTTATTTTTAGAATCAATTTCATCAATGGGTCCAGTTAGTGGTGCTTCATCAAGAAAATCCATGTTAAGTTTATCTGGTGTTTCTTCTTTCACTAATAATGAATCATCTTGTTTTGGTGGTGGTTTCGGTGGTAGTTTTAATCCATGCTTTGATCCATGCTGCAAACCATGTTGTGATCCATGCGGTTCTAATATCAACTTTATCAATATTGATATTGATATTGGTCGTAGAAGATGGTGCTAAAATATTTAAATAAAAATAACTTTGGTTTTTAATTATCTGTTTGATCAAATTATTGTTTTGTTTTATTTTTTTTTTATTTTTTTTTTTAAATTTTCATTTTTTAATTTTTTTTTTTTAAATTTTTTTTTATTTTTTTTTTTTTCATATTTTAATTTAAAAATGATTAAACAAATTTTTAAAAGTAAATTAAATTATAATAATATTATTTTTAATAATTCTCAATTATTAAAATCAAAAAATATTAGATTTTTTACTACAGAAACAAAAACAACAACTACTGTAGGTCAAGAATGTATACTCGAAAAATTAACAGGTGAAAACGAAGGTATTAGTGTAATTTCATTCAATAGAGGACATGTTAAAAATGCATTGGGTAAAAATTTAATGCAAGAATTTAGACAGCATTTACACGAACTTAGATTTTGTACTTCAACAAGAGTTGTTATTCTTCGTAGTTTAGTTGATGGTGTATTCTGTTCAGGTGCAGATTTAAAAGAAAGAGCACAAATGTCACAAGTTGAAGCATCACAATTTGTACATTCATTAAGATCATCTTTTACCGAGTTGGAAACATTACAAATGCCAACTATTGCCGCTATTGAAGGTGCTGCTATGGGAGGTGGTACAGAAATGGTTTTAGCATGTGATTTTAGAGTTGCAAGTGCTTCATCAAAAATGGGTTTACCAGAAACAGGTTTAGCAATTATCCCAGGTGCTGGTGGTACACAACGTTTACCAAGATTAATTGGTATTCCAAGAGCTAAAGAATTAATCTTTACCGGTGCAATTCTCGATAGTAAACGTGCTTTAGAAATTGGTCTTGTTCAATATGCCACTGAAAAAGGTGAAGCATTTAATAAAGCTATAGAAATCGCAAAACAAATTTTACCAAAAGGTCCAGTAGCTATTAGAATGGCCAAACAAGCAATTGATAAAGGTATGAACGTTGATATTTCAACTGGTATGGTCATTGAACAAGCCTCATATGCTCAAGTTATCCCAACCAAAGATAGAATAGAAGGTCTTACTGCTTTTAGAGAAAAGAGAAAACCAATTTACAAAGGCGAATAAATAAACTATTATAATTAAAATTCTTTTTTTTTATGTAAAATTTAATATATTGTTAAATATATAATATATATTATTTATAAATAAAACTTTATTTATATTTTAAAGTATGTTTTTGTTGTTGCATTTCTAACAATTTTTGAACTTGTTGGTAGTAGACTAGTTGTTGGTTAACTTCAATTGGTTCTTCTTCACTAATATTTTCATCTGGGGAGGAAATAGTTTCTTGAATTTTATTACTTTCTTTTACTGGTGTTGGTGGAAGCGTAATTTGATTATCAATGTTATTAATTTCTTTATTTGTTTCAACCATTTTATTACCATTTAATTTTAATAGCTCTTCCTCTTCTTCTTTTTCTTTTTGATGATAATGAGATGCTTGAAGATGGGGTGCCAACCATTGAACAAAATCATTAACTAATTCGGATGCTACTTTTTTTAAAGTTGTTACATTTTTTGTGTCTTGTACTTTGTTTAAAAGTTCTTCATAAACCGATGCAGAAATCATATCCCAGAAAGATGCTTGACTGGGTGTCCAAGAACCATTAAACTGACGAACATTCATTGCAAACTTGAATGACAATGGGATATGTTTTGAATGGGAATTAATGTAAGCTACAATGGGATGAGCCAATGCATTTGAAATATAACTTATCTCTGGTGTATACAATGGTGCAACTGAATAGAGATGGTTCAATTGTACTTTGAAATCCAAATGTAAATTCATACGTGGATTTTCTGATGCTGGAATAATACCAAACTCTACTTGTTCAGTTTCTAAAAGTTCCTTGTCATCAACTTGGTGTGGTAATAGTAAAAGTAAATCTATATCAAATGTACCTTCTTTAATCCATCCTAATGGTCCAGTTGCATTTCTACTAAGAATGTCAATATTTAAACCATCAATTTTTAATTCCCTATATTCGGGTTTTTCATCTCTTTGAGTTTTATTTCTTTTATTGCTGTTATTATTTGTATTTAAGTTTGTTGTTTGTGATGATGTTGATGTTGATAAAGTTGGTTGGGGTGGTTGTGATGATGGATTTGGGTGAGTTAAATAAAATGATTCATTTTCTTCACTTCCTGAAGTAAAATGTTCAAAGTTGAAGTTATCATTTCTAAAATTTTGAATTTTATTTGTAAAAGATTGTAATTGTTTCGATAAAACGTCATCAGATTCGATATTAAATGGTCTATGATGTTGTGGTATGGTAAAAGTGAATAATGAGTTGTCAAATTTACCAATTATACTTTTGCAAGATAATAAATCTAATAACATCCATTGTTTTCTAAATCGATCACTTTCTAAATGATAAATTGAAATTGGTAATGGTCTATAACTTCTATCTGGTAAAAACATTGTTATTAAAAAATCTTTAACTTCTAATTTTTCAAATTCGAAATCACCTGAAACTCTATATATAAAAAAGAAATTTTATTAATATATTTCTATTATTATATGTTATTATAAAACTATTAGTGGTTGTTTACTTTTTTCTTCTTGGATAAACCATATTTTTATTATAATATACACCTTCAGTTCTTCTATCAATTAAACCACGAACACCATTTACTAAACATTCTTGAATTAAACCTTTGCCTTCTAAAAACCATAAGAAATTTAATTTTATGTCGATTTGTCTAATAGATAGCTGAATCGATGATAAATGATCGTCTGGTCTTGGTGTACGAGAAACATTAACATTTTCTATTCTAATATAACCTGTTTTTAAATCACCTCTTGCTCTTTCAAAAGTGATTGTAATACCTGTATTATTTGTCAAATATTGACCAACTTTTTTGGCAATTAATTCTATATTTTAAATTTAAATGTTAATATTTTGATTTTCTTATTATTTTTTTTTTTAAAAAGGTAATATATTGATTACATACCTGAAAATTCAAAAGTATTGGCAAAAAATAGTATAAGAGAAACTAAAGAAGTTGTACCAATTAAAACTAAAGCACCAGTTCCAAAAGCTGCCCAACTTATAATTGCAATTCTTTGATCTGATGTTAATGGTTTATTTCTAGTTAAAAAATATTTGACTTTTGCGATTAATCTTGAAAAAAATGAAAAAATACCATCTCTATATGTTTGATATCTTTTATTACCACCACTATTATTTGTATTTTCGTTATGTTCATTTTCTTGATTATCATTGTTATTATTATTATTATTATTATTACTGTTGTTATTATTATTTATTTGATTATTTTCACTTTTATTTTCTAAATTTGTTTTATCATCTTTATTATTTGGTGTAGAGGTACCAAACTGTCTTTTAAATAACATAGATTGATTATTACTAAAATTATAGTATTGACTAATTTTATTATTACATTTAATTGAATTATTTAAAAACTGTAGATAATTTGAAACATTTTTGTTTTTATTATTAATGTCATTATTGGAATTACTATTTAATTTAATGTGTTCGTTTAAACTATTACTGATATTACTATTATTATTGTTATTAAATGATTTTATGTTATTAATAGTATTGATACTCCGGGTGTTTACTTTGCATAATCCTTTAAAATTTGCTATATTTTTATTTTGAGTTGCTATAACTCGTCTAATTGAATGTATATTATTTATATTCATCTATTTGTGAATTTTAATTTTCTTTATATTACATTTAAAAAAAAAAATAAAAAAAAATTTATCCTATATCTTTTCTATAATTTCAAAAAGATTAAAAAAAAAAAAAAAAAAAAAAAAAAATTAATATAATGTTTTTAAAATAAAAAATAAAAAAATATTGTTTTATTATTATTTTAATAAAAATAAAAAAATTATTATAATTTATATTTTTTATTAATGAAAAATAAATAAAAGGTGTGTGTGTGGTGAAAATGTGGGTGGTGGTTCATTGTGAAGGTTTAAATTAATTGAAGAAAACCAAAAAAATAAAAAAAAGTAAAAGGATATAATAAATATAAAATGGGGTAAATATATGGGGAGGGGTGTGTTATATTTATATTACTATTCCTATTTTTGTGTAAGAATTTTTTATTTGATCTTACATTTTTTTAATTTTAGATTTTTATCTATTTATATTTTTTGTATATCTCTTCAAAGTTGTATATTTAATTTCGTAATAAACAAATTAAAAAAAATTAAAAAAAAAAAAAGAAAAAAAATAAATTTTTTGAATTTAAAAAAAAAAAATAAAAAAATAAAAAAATTATTTTTTGTTTGTAAATTGAAACACCAAATCATGATTTTTAATCAAAAAAAAAATATTTTAAAGTTATTTATAATTAAATTAAAATAATCTTAAAAGTTGTTTTTATTTATTTCACGAATTTTTTATATATTTAAAATTTTTGATATATTGCTTAAATCGACATTTCCACCAGAAATAATAACACCAATTCTTTTAATATTTGATTTAATTTGTTTATTTTCTTCATCTAGTGAATTTTGTTTAATAATTGCAGCAAGGACTGTAGCGCTTGAAGGTTCAATAATAATTTTCATTCTTTCCCAAACCAACTGTTTAAAAAAAAAAATTAATATATTTTGTGTGGTGTGTGTTATATTAAATATTTTGTAGTATACGTTACTTTCATACTTGATTTGATTTCATCATCTGAAACAGTTATAATACCATCAATATATTTTTGAATGATTGGGAAATTTAATGGACCCAAGGTTGTTAAAAGACCATCGGCAATGGTATTTGGTTTACCTTCGGTGTGTGATTGAATGGAACCTTCTTTTAAAGATCTAAATGCATCATCGGCACCTTCAGGCTCGGCTGCAAATACTTTAATATTTGGATTGATTGATTTTACAGAAATTAAGGTGCCTGATAAAAGTCCACCACCACCAACTGGTGTAATTACTGCATCTAAATCTTTAACCTGTTCCAACAATTCTAAAGCAGCAGTACCTTGGCCTGCAATAACATCCAAGTTATTAAATGGGTGAATTAACTTACATCCATGTTTTTCGATTAATGCATTGGTGTTGGTTTCTCTGGCTTCTAAAGTTGCTTTGCATAATGTAACATTTGCATCATATCCTTTGATTGCATTCAATTTGACGATTGGTGCATTCTCTGGTACAACAACATAACATGGTACTCCTCTCATTTTTGATGCTAAAGATAATGCTTGTCCATGATTACCTGATGAGTGAGTTACAACACCTTTTTTCATATCCTCTTCATTTAATTTAAAGACACTATTACATGCACCACGGAATTTAAATGCACCAACTTTTTGAAACTATAAATATTTAATTAATTTTATTAAGTTATTTATTTTTATTATTTTCCAAACAATTAATTAATGTATTAATTACATTTTCGCATTTAAAAAATATTTCTTTATCTCCTGATAATTTATTTATAGTTGAATTGGTTAAAACTGGTGTTTCGTGAATATATTGCTTTATTCTTTCATGGGCCTCTTTAATATCCTTTAGTGTTACAACATCATCGATTTGTGTGTCCATTATTATTATATTATTATTATTACTGTTACCAAAGATTATAAAAACTGAATTTTTTAAAAAATAAAAATAAAAATAAAAAAAAATAAAAATAAAAATTTTAAAAAAAATTAAAATAAAATAAATATTTTTAAAATGTCATAAATTAAATAAAGCTTAAACCAATTATTTTGCTATCAAAAATAAAATATAATGAATTTCAAATTGTTATTAAATTTTTTCTTTATTCACCCCACTTTTTTTCTTTTTATCAATCAAATAAAAACAAATAATATTTTATTTAATAAAAGCACCTTCCACAACAACCGATATCAATATTGATAAAACTTCCATTAACTGTCACTGCATAGATTACAGCATGGATTAAAACTACCTAAATCACTAACCAAAACAAGATGATTCATTATTAGTGAAAGAAGGAACACCAGATTAACATAATAAGGATTTGCTTGATGAAGGGGCCACTTGATAATAATTTTTTTTTGAAATTTTATTTTTTTTAAATACTTTGGAACTTTCATGATTTAAATCAAATTTTTTATTTAAAATTTTTTTTTTTTTATTAAACATTAAAAAAAATTTTTTTTTAAAAAAAAATAAATACTTTATTTAATATATTTTCCCATGATACAGATACCTGAAAATATATATACCCCTTTATTACTATAATCATTTATAAATTTAAATAAATGAAACCAAAAAGTATTAATTATATTTTTAATAATTGGGTATATAGTATTTATAAAATCTCAGAAGGTTAGGAAAAATAATAAGGAAAAAACAGGGGTTACTTTTTTTAAAAAAATTAAGTTTTTCCCAAAAACAAGATATTTTATTGAATATCAAAAGATGTAATTGTTTTGTAAACTTTTACATAATTAAAATTTTTTTTTTTTTTAAAATCTAATTTTTTTATAAAAATTTTGATTTTTAATTAAATTTGTATTTTTATTATTTATTTCAAATATAACAAATGAATATATGTTTTGTATTTCCAAAAACCTTTGAGGTTTTTAAATTTTTTGAATTTTTAAATAACGACAAAAATATTGTTTATAAAGATGTCCTACAAATAGACTCATCAATAGAATTAAATAGTTTATTAATCATAAAAAAAAAAACACTAGACCCATCAAATTCACAAACTGACAAAGGTAATAATAATGAAAAAGCTTTATTTGAAACATCAGGCATATCAAATTCAGAAATTAGCCAAGGTAATAATAATGAAAAAACATTTTTGAAAACACCGGACATATCAAATTCAGAAACTCACAAAGTTAATAATAGTGAAATGTATTATCCTTTCCCTGTTTATGATATAAAATATCATAACTATTATCATTTTACTTTTCTTGTTATAGATGAAAGTGATATCAATTTTAGAAAAATACTTCAAGCAAAATGGGAAAAAGTTTCAGAAACTAATAATAATCATCATGTTTTGGCCAGACCAACATTATTATTAATGGGGTCATGTGGTTCACCAAATAAAGTTGATTTTCAAAAATTTTTTATTATTGAAAATGCTCATAAATATGACAGGGGCGAATTAAGGGAGGATAGAGTTTTTGTTTCCAGGTCAACAAAAGTTCTGAAGAATGCACATTCATTAGAAATCTTCACCTTAAATAGATTAAAAAATTCTGTTGGAGCAAAAAAAGATATTCTCACAACCAATTTTATCAATCAAGCTAAAATTGATGACGAAGAAAACTATAAGGATTGTTTATTGGATATGGAGACTTGGGATTTTTATGATATTTGTGAATATTTAAAAAAAAAGGGGTTAATTGGTGGTTATGGCTCAATTAGATTCGTTACCGACCTGGCATTCAACCCATCAGAGGAAGTATTAAATAAAAAGAAAGTTATTGAAACCCTTTCTCAATTTGGCAACGATATTCCAATTTTTGAATTTTACCAAAAGTTATATGACCAAATAGATCACAGTGGAATATTGAAATCTATGGGAGGTAATAACTTTCGAGATTCTTCAACTCAAAAAAAACTCATTAGACGTAACTCACAATACAATTTTAGTTTCATCTTCGATTTTTTATTACCATGTTATCAACATGGATGTCATCATCGAACGGATACAAAAGATAGCTTTAAAAGTTACTATGAACACTATAAAACTATTGCAGAAAACAAGGATAAGGTCCCCAAGAGTAAGATGTAAATGATAATTATTGAACTAATAGGTCATATTTATTATTTATATAAGAACCCCTAAAATAAATCATATTACAATTTATTTGCTAAAAAATAAAATAAAATAAAAATAAAAAATATTGTCAATTTATTCCGTTTTTTCAATTTTAAAAATTTTGTTTGTATTTTTTTACAATTAGATATAGTTGATTATTATTAATTAATATTTAGTATATCCTCCATGAACTACAGTTATCATGACAAATGATTGGAACCCTTCCAGGCACTTTATTTTTATCTGCATAGTATTCTAAAGTTAGTTGTGCATCGTTTTGTAAAATTTCAAGATATAGTTTAGATTATAATCCATCATCTAAAAATAAAAATAAAGAAATAAAATAAAAATAAAAAAATTTGTGTGGGTAACCTATTATTATTTTATTTAATAGTTTGTTATAGAAGTAATGTTACAGTGATTTTTATATATATTTAATTAATCTTGTTTGGGTATATGTATAAATGTTTTAGCTCTTTTATATTGATAATCATTATTTTTTGTTATTAATATTATTATTATTAATCTGGGCCAATTCAGTGTTTAGAGCTTTTAAATTTAATGATGATTTTTGAACTTGAATCGTTTTCTTCTTATCTTCTTTTTCTTGTTTTTCTTTTTCTTTCTCCTTTTCCTTTTCCTTTTCTTTATCTAGTTTTGAACTGGTCGAAAAATTGGAAAATATTTTATTTAGTGATGGAGCACCTGTTGATTTGGATGTTTTTACAGTATCATATTTTTGAGGTAAATTATTGTTATTATTATTTTCATCATGATCACCACCACTATTACCATTTGCTGTACCACCAACAATTGTACCCGAAGATGATTTAAAGAATGATCTACCAACTGTTGCACCTTTATAAATTTCATTTAGTTGCTCTTTATGAATTTTTTTGTTCTCTTCATTGGTTTGTTTGGTTAACATTTCCTGGTTCTTTTGTTCTTCTAATAAAAGTTGTTGAGTTTTTTCTTCAGCATCCTTAATAGTTTCCATTCTGGTTTGATATGACATTTTATGGAATGTTGTTTGTCTCACTAGATTTAATGAAAAAAAAAAAAAGTTAGTATTAATTTTATAAAATTGTAACATTATTTTTTTACTTACATAAATTTGGATATTGTCTTAACTGTGGAGATGATTGTTGTTGTTGTAGATGTTGTTGTAATTGTGGCGATGATTGTTGAGATAATAACTGTGGTGATGATTGTTGTGGTGATGAAGAATTTGAATTATTTAGAAGTGATTGGTTTTGAAGTTGTTGTTGATTTTGTTGATTATCAATTACTACGTTTGTATCTAAATCACTACCGCTACCAACCAAATTATCGCTGTTATTATTAATATTTACACTACTTGATAAATCATTTGAACTAACATCTTGTTGTTGTGACTCATTCAAATTCATTGAACCTGCTAATGTTGCGCCTCTACCTGTTTTACCTTTTAATTTTAATGCTGTGTATTGGAAATCTATATATTTTTTAAAATCATTTGCTTTTTCTTCTGCTTTTTTATAATTTACTAATTCTAAAGATGGAAAAAAATCAAATTAATATAAATATAAATCAAATAATATGGATAATATGGATAATATGGATAATAACTTACTTTCATTTTGTTGTTGTTGAGCACCAATTTCAAAAAATACTTTTTGAAGATAATTTAACCATTGAGTTTTCGATTCTGGTGACTCTGCAAAGAATCTTAGTTCAACATTTTGTAATAAAATTTCAAAACAATTAATCATTGAGGCTAGATTTAAAAAAAAAAAGATTAATATTATTTTTTTCTTTAATTTGGTATTTTATGTTATTACTTACGATTATTTGGGATATCTGTTAACATTGGACATGGAAATAGGTCTTCACATTTTAAAAATTTGAACTTTGATTTATTATTAAAAATTTTATTGGATGTAGGTTTTGAAAAAATTAAAATATCATTAAATAAAAATACATAAACTCTTTTAGATTTATTATATAAATCCCCAACTAAAAGATAACCCTCAAACACATATCTTCTTTCGGCAATAACAAGATTCTATAAAAATTATAATTTAGCGTTAATATAATATAAAATTTTTTAAATTTTAATTTTGATATACTTACTGGACATTTTCCAATTAGTTTATTTTGAACTTCAACAACTTTTAGGGAATTATCAGATTGTCTTTTGGTATCATTAATTGACATTGCAATACCCTTGACTAATTCTAAAGCTTTAGTTAAATGGGGGAAATCTGGGTGAGATCCCTCAGTATGTTTTAATAAATCTTGAAGTAATAATACATAACCTAAAAATAAACAAATTATTAATATTTTTTTTTTTTTTTTTTTAAAAAATAATGTAAACATACGTGGAATTCTTTGCACTGGTGTAATTAACAATGACTCTAATCTTGAACGTGGTGTTGTTTTTTCTTCAGCCGCTTTAATAAATGCTGCAAATTTTGAGTCTTTTGCACATAGTGAAATACGTTGAAGACCAAAATCAAAATTCTTTACATAATCAGTATAAGCTTTTAAGTAAACACCCATGGTTGTAAAACAACTACCCAATATAGAGTATGGTGTCCATTTATCCAATACTGTTTCCAAACTTGATAACAATGTATTATTAATAACATAAATACTATCAATACCACCAAATATAAATTTTACATCCTCCTGACTAATAAGACTGCTCTTTCTTAGTGGGTCTATAAAATGTGTTGATAATTGTTTTAATGTTGATAAATAAGTTTTTTCTGTATTATAGATTTCTTGCACTATATTCCATCTGTATCTATATAATAATTCTATTTAAAAAAGGAAAATAACTATTAATATTTTTAAAAATAAAAAATTTGGTTTTTGGTGTAATATTATACTTACTTAATTTTATAAGTGGTAAACATTGTTTGTGACGTCTGTAAGCTCTTTGAATCTTAATTGCAGCTTTGACCATAGCTGGATCTTCTTGTAAATTTGGTGCTGGTTTCGATCTTGGTGGTGTTGGAGGTAATGGTTTTCTTGGTGGTGCTCTTTGATGGATCATTATTGAAATTCTTGGATTATTCATAACTTTACCATTTTGTGTTTTAATTTGTAAATTACTGCCAGTTTTAGTTGGTGATCCTGATAATTGCTGTGATGGTTGTTGAGTATTTGGAGACATTGGTGGTTTAGATGATGCATTATGGTTGTTAGCAATACTGATTGGTCTGGTATTTTGATTAATTACGGAAGCCCTATTATATGGTTCAAATAAACTACCAGATCTGGGGGCTTGAGATTGAGATTGAATACCAACAAAACTTCTAGTAATTCTAAATTTAGTACCACCAGCTAATAATTCCATTTCTTTTAACTCTGCCTCTTTAAGTGCATTAATAGTTTCTTCATTACCTAAACCCATTTCACTTAAAAACTCTGCATGCAGCTCCTCTTCTTCCTCAACTCCTTCTTCATCGGTATCATCTTCATTTTCATTAGTTTGTGCATCAGTAGTTTCATCATTTAAATATTTATTTAATAACTCTGATCCCTCACTTGAATTATCGTTAATGCTTTCTAAACTATTTGAATTACAAAGTGCTGGTGATGCTGATGGTGATACTTCATTACCATTATTCGTAACAACTGACGCTCTAGATTGGATTGGTGATTTATTAATATTACTACTATTGTTTGTATTATTATTAGCGTTTAAATTATTTTCGTTTTGACCAACTGGAACTTTATTAATTGATAATGATGACAATGATGTTCTTGGTGTAACTTTTGGTGGAACCTTCTTTTCTTGTATTGATGGTTGCTGAGGTGATGGTTGTGATGGTTGAGCTGATTGAACTGGTGATGTTGCAGTATCTGTTGAATTTTTAACAATCATTGATGCTGATCTTACTGGTGGGTTTGTTCTTTGAGGACTATTATTATTAAGATTTGTACCATTGGGTTGATTTGTTTTTGTTAAAAGTGAATTATCTGATGCTGATACTGTTGATGATCTTGTTATCATTGACGATCTAATTGGTGGTTTTACACCATTTGCTGTAGATGTTGATGAATTATTTAGATTAACAACACCTGGTGGGGCTGTTTTTCTTTTATCTTTATAATATATAAAAAAAATGAAAAATAAAGAAAAAATTTTGGTATGTAAAAATACACGAAAAAATGTTAGTTTTAAAATTTTGACATATATTTTCGAAAAAAAAAAAAATTTTAAAAAAAACAAACAAATAAATAAAAAACAATTTTAAAACTATAAAATAAACCTATTATCCTTACCATCGTCATCCATATTTATATTTACTTTGTTCTATTACAATTGTTTTGCAATTGAATAAAAAAAAAGTACTGGCCTAATAAAAAAATTAAAAATTTTAGTTTTTTTTTTTTTATTTTATTTTTTTTATTTTTATTTTTTTTTTTTTTTAATTTTTATTTTTTGGTTATTTTTATTTTTATATTTTGATTATTTTTTATTATATGATTCTACTTGTATAAACAATCGATTTTATTTTAATTTTAATTTTTGAATAATAAATAAGAAAAAATTAAAAAAAATTAAAAAAAAATTAAAAAAAAAAAAAAAAAAAAAAAAGTTGGTTTTTTTCAAAATTTTATTTGAAAAAAAAAAAAAAAAAAAAAAAAGATATAAATAAATAATTAAAATACTTTGATATATAGTATTATTCCTTTCCAAATATATACATAATATTTACTATATAATGGAATAATTATTTACATAAATGTAAACTCAATATCCAATTCAAGTCAAAGAAAAAAAAAAAGATGATTATCAAAATTTTATTTAAAGCTATTTATAAAAAAAAATAAAGAATAAACAGTGATTCGGAGGAAACTAATCAATGGAATATGTTTATTCTTTATTCATACAAATATATATTTTTTGATTACCAACACAACCAAACCAATCCAAATTTTTTTTATTTTTTTTTTTTTCATTTAATTTTAATTTAATTTTTTTTTTTTTTTTTTTCAATTTTTTTTATTTTCCCATTTTGATATTCATTTTATTTTTTTATTGTATTTTATAATATTTTAAATATTTTATAAAATTGATTTTTATTAAAAGTAAGTAGAATTACTTAATTTATTATATTAATTGTATTTTATATCAAAATAGAGCAAATTATTATAAATATAAAAGTATTTAATTACAACTCTTACACTTACACATACACCCCACACACCCCACAATTTTTTTTATTTTTTTTATTTAATTTAAATTTTGTTTTTATTTAATATTTTTTTTTTTTAAAAATTTTATTTTGATCCTAATTTTTTTTTAAAATTTTATTATCATTTATTTTTTTTATTTGTTTATATTAAATAATATAGTATAATAATAAAATGACCAAATTAGAAATTAAAATTATTGAAACCAAACCCTTTGATGGGCAAAAACCAGGTACAAGTGGATTAAGAAAAAAAGTTACAGAGGTTATGAACGGTAATTACTTGGGTAATTTCGTTCAATCAATTTTCAACGTATTACCAAAGGATAAATTAAAGGGCTCAACTTTAGTAGTTGGTGGTGATGGACGTTATTATAATAAGCAAGCTATTCAATTAATTTTTCAAATTGCTGCTGCCAATGGCGTCGGTAAAATATTAGTTGGTCAAAATGGTTTATTATCAACACCAGCAATCTCTGCAATTGTAAGAGCTAGACAAGCATTAGGTGCAATTATTTTAACAGCATCTCATAATCCAGGTGGTCCAAAAGGTGATTTTGGTATCAAATATAATCAATCAAATGGTGGCCCAGCTCCAGAATCAATTACAAATGCAATCTATAAAGAAACTACTACAATCACTCAAATCCATAGTGCTGAAAATGTTAATGTTAGTGATCTCTATACTCTCCAATCACACGAATGGGAAGGTTTCACTGTTGAGGTTATTGACTCTGTCTCTGACTATTTGACCCTTTTAAAGAGTGTTTTTGACTTTCCATCCATCAAGAAATTTGCCACTGACCCAACAAAGAACTTTAGATTCAATTTTGATGCAATGAGCGGTGTAACTGGGGTTTATGGTAAAAGAATTTTCTCTGATGAACTTGGATTCCCTGAATCATGCCTCATCAATTGTATTCCATCAGAAGACTTTAATGGCGGTCATCCAGATCCAAACTTGACATATGCTCCAGAGCTCGTTAGAAAAATGAACAATGGCGAATTTGACATGGGTTGTGCCTCTGATGGCGATGGTGATCGTAATATGATTTTGGGTAATCGTTTCTTCCTCAATCCTTCAGACTCTGTTGCTCTTATCGCTGCCAACTATCAAGCAATTCCATACTTTAGAAATGGATTAAAAGGTCTTGCTCGTTCAATGCCAACTAGTGCCGCCCTTGAAAGAGTCGCTACTGACCTTAAAGTACCTTTCTTTGAGGTACCAACTGGTTGGAAATTCTTTGGTAATCTAATGGATGCAGATACACTCTCCATTTGCGGTGAAGAAAGTTTCGGTACTGGTTCAGACCATATCAGAGAAAAGGATGGCATTTGGGCCATCGTATGTTGGCTTCAAATTCTTGCTTTCAATAATACCACATCCCTTGAAGAGATTGTTAAAAAACATTGGTCCAAATATGGTAGAAACTATTATTCACGTTACGACTATGAAGAGATCGATACTAAACCAGCAGAGGAAATGATGAAACACGTTTCTGCTCAAATTAACTCACAAGAATTAGTTGGTAAGAAATTTGTTGGAATTCAAGATAATGTTACCTATGAAGTCGCAAAATGTGATGATTTCGAATACAAAGATCCAATCGACAAATCAATTTCTTCACATCAAGGTCTTCGTATTATTTTTACCGATGGTTCAAGAATTATTTTCCGTCTTTCTGGTACTGGCTCAACTGGTGCTACTGTTCGTGTTTATTTCGATAAATATGAAACCAAACAAGATCAATTAAACAACAATGTTCAAATTCATCTTAAATCACTTATTCATATAGCTCTTGAAGAAATTTCAAAATTAAAACAATATACTGGTAGAGATGAACCAAATGTTATTACATAAAAAAAAATAAAAATAAATAATAAAACTATCAAATAATTAATAAAATAAAATAAAATAAAATAAAAAAATAAAATAAAATAAAATAATAATAGTAAATAGCCATATTATTTTTTTTATATCCAAAATAAATTTTTTTTTTTTTTTTTTTTTTTTTGTTGCAAAAATTGGATTTGTAAAGGAATCAAATAAATGGGTATTAAAAAAAAAAAAAAATTATTACCATAAAAAAACTCCAAGTAAAATTCAAAAAAGCTATTTATAATATCAGTTTATTTTTTCGATATAAATAAAAAAAATAAATATAAGATTTAAAAAGTAAAAATTTAAGTATACCTATTTTTTTGAAACTATTTATTGTCAATGTTATTATTATTATATATCTGTTTGGATTTAAAAAAATAAATATAAATAAATACAAATAATTTTTTTCAATTTAACCACACCGATCCCAACCAAAATTAACAATAATTATTATAATTTAGTGGGTGCACAAAGGGAAAAAAACAAAAACAACACACAATAATTTTTTTTATTATAGCATCATAATGAAGATTTAAAAGAAAAAAAAAAAAAAAAAAAAAAAAAAAAAAAAAAAAAGAAAAAAAATACAACAACATCACTTAATTCTCAGTGATGAGGGAGAAAATTTTAATTTTTTTTAATTTTTTTAATTTAATTTTTTTTTTATTTTTATTTTTTTTTAAAATTTTCTCTTGCACATTTTTTTTGTTTTGTGTATTATAAATATTAAATTCAATAACTCAATTTTAATAAATAACCTAAAATACTATATTATATCTCTATAAGTTTACTTTATATCATCATACCTCATCATTCCATTACCATACTTATTTTAAAAATGATTTCAGGTTCGTAAAATAAAATAAAATATACTATAAAATAAAATAAAAAAAAAAATAGAAAAATAAATATATATTTTTAAAAAAAAAAATAGAAAAATATATATTTATTTTTTTTAAAAATAAATATATATATATTTTTTAAAAAAAATAGAATACAAATATAAATATTAGTGTTAATATTGATATTAATATTAATATTAATATTATTTAATATATAAAATTTTTATATTAAAACAAAATAATTAAATATGCTTATATAAAAATATAAACCTAAAAATAATTATTATTAATATAAACATAATATTATTTTATATGTATTTTTATATTAAACAATATAAAAAAATTATTAAATAAATATTTACATATAAACATACACAAATATATAAATATAATATTACTTTATAAAAAATATTTATATTAAAATAAAATTATTTAAATTTCTTTTATAGACAATTATTTAACTTATCCAGAAAACAAATTGCATCAATACTTTTTTGATCAAACTACTGATAAGTTAGACGTTTCCAAGTCAAACCAATCGCCAACAGACCAATTCGGAAAAACTGAGGAGTATATCAACTCCAGCAGTATCAATATTCTCTTTGGAACCAATATCAAGTTCGATGTTTCTCAGATTATCCAAGACCATGATTCACTTCCAGCTGCAGAAAAAAATCTCATCAAAAATTATGCTAAATCAGAAGACATTCATGGTGCCTATTACATATTAGGTGTAATCTTTTGTTACTTCCCAAGAGAATCCCTACAAGAGTTAATGGACTTTGTTAGATCATTTTCTCGTAAGGGTTTTAGAAGTGCTATTATTAACGAGCTAGATCAAAGATTATTAAGCTACAAGCATTTTAATGACCCAGAAATTTATCTATTCCACCGTCTTTTCACCAACTTTACAATGGATTCATTCCAGAGTTTTGGTTCAAGATTCAGTTCATTTTTAAAAGAAGAACATTTGATTACCATCGAAGATTTTGATCCATATCAGTCCTCTAATTTTTCACACTCATCACCAGTTCCCTCTGAATCAAGCTTAGATTTTAACGTTAACGACTATGTTTTCAATAACACTCAAAGTGTTCAGGTTATTTATGATAACCAGTGTGAACTTTTATCTCCAATGGTACAAATCGAACATATCGAACATATCGAACAAATGAATCAAATGAATCAATTGAATCAAATGACTCAATTGGAACAAAATTTTAATTCAATCGATTCAACACCAAACTTTACATCAACTATTTTCCCAACTCCCCCATCATCCCCATCATTTAACCAAGTTGCTCCATCTACACCAACCTATCAATTCTCCCCATCACCATCGTTTGATTGCCTATCACCATTACAATCATCTTTGGATGGGGATTTTACTTCAGTCCCAGTTACCAATAGTATGGATATTACCAACTTTTTTGCAAATAATGTTGGGGCTTCTGCTCAACCAAGAGCCAGTGGTAAATTGGAAGAAAAGCAAAAAAGAGTTACAAAATCATTCCCAAAAGCTGTTATTGACCATTCATTCCGTTCAAAATTATTTGAATTTGGTTTCACCGCCGAAGATTTAGAAAAAGCTTCACACAAAGGTTCTGGAAATTATATCTATGGTGAAAATTTGCTCTCTTCAATCTCAAATACAATGGAGCGTCCAATTCCACTTGAAGTTAGTACTGGCAGAATTGCAAGAAGTGGCCTCATTGTTCAAATTCTCGACCCTGCTCTATACCCAAATGTCACTGCCGTACCATCCCTTGTTTCCAGAAATCCCTTATCAAAAGATTTCGATTTCAAAAAATGCGATTTCGATCAAATTGAAGAAAAATCTTATCATTTAACTTTCTCAATTTTGAGACTTACAAAAACAGAAAAAAATGTTTGCATCAGACTTTGTTTATTCTCCAATGGTGTACATTTTGACACTATCACCACACCAAACATTCGTTTCAGAAATACTCCAAGTGAATTTAGCCATCCAAGTGAAGCTATTGTCTTAAAAGATCAAAATTATACACCAACCGACCAATCCAACATTGATGATGACTCTGTTGCAAAAGAATTTAAATCAATGGATAACTTTTTCAAGAAGGGTATCAAATCCACCGAAAGACAATGTGCTAGTGATGGTGAAACCATTCAAAAACCAGGCAAACAATTAGTTATCGAATTCAAAAACACTGCCACTAATAAAACCTTCAAGGTTCCACAAGATATATCAAAGGTTCCAGAGGAAGACAAGTGGAGATTTGTTTCAGACAAAAAGAATAATATCATTAATTTCCCATATTCAAACGTGGTAGAATTTAAATGTATAATTCCAAAGGGAACTTATGACGTTACATTCTTTTATGAAAATGTCACTAAAAAAATTTCACCACAAATTAAAAACTACATAATTAATTAATATGCCAGTTTGCTCAGAAATTAAAAAAAAAAAAAAAAAAAAAATCAATAGTAGTATTACATAAATTTTACAATTTTACAAATATTTTAAACTTTTTAATTTTATAAAAATAAATAAATAAATCATTTTAAAGTAAAAATATATATTTTTTTTTCTTTTATTATAATCAATCACTAAAAAAAAAAAAAAAAAAAAAAAATATAAATTTCATCTAAATATTTTCAAAATGATCAAAATATCTTTTTTTTTTTTTTTTTTTTTTAAAATTAATTTCTTTTCAAAACAGAAAATTATTATAATTCCATTTTTTTTTTTTTTTTTTTTTTTTATATTAAATTTTTTTTTTTTTTAAATTTTTCAAAATTTTTTTTAATTTAGATTTACACCCATTAAACACACCAAACGAAATATTTTTAATTTAGAACACACACAATTTATAATATAAAATAAAATATTTTATTATTATTTTATATATAAAATTTTAATTTTTAAAATAAAATAACACAAATTAAATAAATAAATATTATAAATTATAAGCACCAAAAAATAAACAAAGTAATATAAAAAAATCAATCAACCATAATAAATATAATATAATAGAATGACAACATTATATGATGTTATCGTTGTAGGTGGTGGTTTAGCAGGTTTAAATGCAGCATATGAATTTAAAAAATCAGGTTTAAATGTTTTGGTTCTTGAGGCTAGAGATGTAAAGTATAGATAAATAATTATCGATAGTGATGGCAATGATGATTGCCTCATTATTAATAAAGCATATAGCATTGGATATTAATACTTTTTTTATTTATTTTATAAAATGAATATTAATAATATTTAGAGATTTGGAGGTAGAACCGAGTCAATTAAAGTAGATGAATATTGGTTTGATTTAGGTGGACAATGGATGGGTGGTACACACAAATATTTAAAACAATTATGTGACGAGTTGGGAGTTAAATCATTCCCACAATATGATGAGGGTAAACATGTTTTAGAAATTAATGGAAAGAAGGTATATTATTCAGGTAATATTTCAACATTAAACAAGGGTTACGATTTAGAAGGATTAAATGAAACTATTCAAAAGATTGACGAGTTAGCTAGCGAATTAAATCCAGAGGCACCACATGCCCATCAAAAGTCCAGAGAGTACGATCATTTAACAGTCAGTGAATGGCTCGATAGAAATACTAAAGGTATTGATGCTAAATCTATTATTAATTGGTTCTGCCGTGTATGCGTTGCTGCTGAGCCATCAGAAGTTTCATTTTTATATTTCCTCCATTTCATCCGTACTGCTGGAAGCTATAGTTTATTGGCTGATATTCATGGCGGTGCTCAACAAGATCGTTTAATTGGTGGTTCACAACAAATATCTGAAGGTTTAGCTAAAAAATTAGGTTCTTCTAGTTTTGCACTTAATTCACCAGTACGTGCCATCTCCCAAGATGCCAATCAATGCTCTGTTAGAACTGATCTTACTACATATCGTGCTAAATATGTAGTAGTTGCAATCCCACCAACTCTTGCTGGTCGTATCGATTATAAACCACCAATGCCAGCTAAACGTGATGAACTTACTCAACGTATGCCAATGGGTTCAGTTATAAAAACAATTGTTATTTATGATGAACCATTCTGGAGAAAAGAGGGTTACTCCGCCGAAGCTATATCTGATCAAGGTCCAATTTTTATTTGTTATGATGACTCTAGTCATGATGATAAAAAAACTGCTATCGTTGGTTTCATTGCCGCTTCAGCTGCTAAAGATTGGGCAGAGAAATCACCAGAAGAAAGAAAACAAGCCGTTTTAGAATGTTATGCTCGTTGGTGGGGTCCAAAAGCTTTAAAACCACGTTACTTTTTAGAAAAAAGTTGGAAAGAAGAAGAATATTCACGTGGTTGTTACGTTGGTTACACCAGTCCAGGTATTTTAGGTCAATGTGGTGAAGCTCTTCGTAAACCAGTTGGTCGTATTCATTGGGCTGGTACAGAAACTGCCTCAGCTTGGGTTGGTTATATGGAAGGTGCTCTTGAATCCGGTTTTAGAGTTTCCAAAGAAATTAAACAAAGATTAACAAATTCAAAATTATAAAATTAAAATTGTTATAATTACAAAAAAAAAAAAAAGATCAAATGGTTTTTATTAATTTTATTATTTCTATTTTTATTTATTATTTATTTATTTATTTATTATATTCGTTTATCAAAAAGATATTTTCAACAATAAAATTAAATCGTTGAACTTTGTGATTTGGAAAAATTGGGATATGATACAGCTTTTTTTTTTTTATTTTTTATTTTTTTTGATGGAAAATATATTTTTTTAAAAAAAATGTTGCAACTTTTTTTAAGTTTTTTATTTTTTTTATTATTTAAAATTTCATTTGTTATTACAACAACTGACTATTACAACTATTCAGTTATTGCTGAGCAACAATGGGAAAATTATTACTCTTCTTTTATAAATGATTTGGTTTACAAGTCATTTAGATATAATGAAAAGTTAAATTTACCATCTTATATTATTAAAAATAATCAAATCCAACCATGCGAATTATATAACACAGTTATATATAATCCATCAATTTACACAATTTATGTATGTTATTTAATATAGATATTATAATAAAAAAAGCTTTTAGGTATTAATAGTTTTTTTTTTAAATTATTATAAGTCAAATATTTATCAAATAAAGAACGAAAATATTAGCCAGGGTACATTGGCTTACAATGAAGATTTAAATTGTTATGGTAAATTAAATAAAAATATATGAATAAACAAATAAATATTAATATTAATATTATTTTTTTTTTATAAAATTAACTAGTTTTTAATTCAGATTTAACATGTAAAGTTTCTTTACCAATTTCAAGATGTTCCGATAACGATTCTCCAAATGTATCAGACTTTAATAATTATAATAATTTAATAAAAAAAGGACATAGTTTTAAAAATAATCTTCAGTTTTATTATTCAGCAAAGCAATCATTTCACTATTATATTAGATCATTTTTAACTCAGTTTTCAGATATAGACCAATTTAATAGAATAGATAATTATTGGAATAATATGGTTAATAAATTAGATGTTTTAATAAAGAGTATTATAGAACTAACTCAACCATCTACCCCAAAGAATATTGGTTCCATTTTATCAAGTGTAGATAGTTCAATATTATCGAGTCAATTTAAAGCAAAAATAGTTGATCAAACTTCTTTTACAATAAATACAATTTTAGATTCATTAAATTCCTTATTAGAAATTGTTAATGATTTATTATTAATTACACCATCAGCATCTATCTCCTCCTCCTTATCATATATCGACCAGTCAATAATATCAAATATTCAAAATAATTTAAAAATTCTCAACGATTATCAAAATTTAAATTTAAATATATTCTTTGGTTCATCACAAAATTTTAATCAGCATATTTCAGAATTATTTAATTCAGGTCAAACATTGTTAGAATATTATTTAGAATTTACAACGACATCAAATGTAATAGAGTCTATAATTCAAGAGGTTTTGGTTTTAAATCAAGTTTTATTACAACAATCATCAAAACAAAATCTAAATTCTATTATTTATAATTTAGATCTTCAAAAATTTAATTTTAATAAGTTAAAACAACAAGAATCAAATTTATCTATAGTTTTAAAATTAATTAAATCATCCACAAATATTAATAACAATAGTAATAATAATAATAATTCATTTTATTGTAATTATTTAATAATAGAATCAATAATAAAATCATTCAACCAAATAATTAATCCAAATAATCTTTTAGAGATTCAACAGTTGGTTTTTAAATCATCTACTTTTGGAGATATTGGTTATTGTAGAGACTTGTTTCAGAGGAGTTCGAAATTAACAATGGATCTTACTGTTTTTAATCAGCTTAGTGCTGTTAGAGAACTTGGTGATCTAGTGAATCAAGATATTTTATCTTATGACTTTGGTTTTCCCAATACAAAGCTTATTACATCAAATTTATTCTCATCAATTATTAAAGATACTGGTGCTGCCCAGTTTCAAAAAGATGGTTTGGTTTTAAATGTTTCATATCCATCGTCTACAGGTAAACCTACTCCTCAGGCTCCTCCTGGTCCATTCCCAATAGTTCCGCAAAACCCAAATTTTCAATGCCAGTATCCAAGTTGTTTGTGGGGTAATACAGGTAGTCAATGTCAAGATACCCCCAGTAACTATTTTTACTTTTTAGAAGGGCAATGTGATTTTTGTATTGATTTACCTGTCAATAGTGAAAGGGCTTTTTTAGGTGGTGTTCGTACTCCTGATGGTCGAATTGGTATATCTCCAAATTGTCCATATATTTGTACATTAAAAGGACAGTATAAACTAGGTGATGCTGATGACTATAACAAAGAGTGTATTGATGCTCCTATTGGTTATTACTCTCCAGCCTATAATAATACTTTATATAAATGTACAATTCCATCAACATATCGTTTACCAAATAGACTAGGTTTCGGTTCAAATGGTTTCTCAGATAGTTGCACAATTACACCTCTTTATCAAATGGTGTTTATTAATTCAAATTATGACACTGAAAGAAATGTTTTACCATCCTCAATTTTAGATCGCGGTAAAACTATTGAAATGTGGTTGTCCATTCAAAATTTGCCAAGTGAAGACTCTGTCCTTGGTTTAACAGGTATTCATGGGTCTTTTGAAATATCATTCATCTATAAACACACAACAAAAACTATTACACCAGCTATTACTGATTCTTCATCTCAAGCTATTATCTTTTCAGATAGTTCAATTAGTATCCCAGTATCAAATATAAATACTTTTTTCCATTTTGCTGTTGTAATTGAAAGTAATAATATTCTTAGTTTTTACATAAATGCTAAAAGAATGGGAAAATCTATTTTTTCAAGTTCAAAGATAAATCAATCCCCAGGTTTTCAATATATAGGTGCAAAACAATTTCATAGAATGTCATTTCTAATTGATGAATACCATACATTTGACCAAGCTTTATCGCCAAGCCAATTAGGTTATAAGGTGAGATCTGAAATGATTGCTTCATCTTGCAATGCTCAAATTAATGAAAGGTTATGTAATGGAAGCTGTGTCTCATGCAATCTTAATTTTGGGCTAGTTTTAGATATCACTGACTGCAGTTGTAAATGTTCAGATTCAGCAAATATGGAAATTGTGAATGGAAAATGTATTCAAAGGTGCCCACCAAATTCATTTAGAGATTCTTCACTACAATGTTCATGTGTTGATGGAGAATATAAAGTTTTACATGCAAATTATGTTAAAATTTCCTCAATATACCAGTATGATAGTCAAGAAAACTATTATTCATCCAACACTGATAAAAAAATTGGTTTAAAGTCAGTACAGATTTATAACCAAAAGGGGGAAAAAATTATTCCTGCTTCCTGTTCTTCAAATAGTAATGATGGAAATGATTGTTATGGTCTTTTTGATGATTCTGCTTCAACATATTGGTGTAGTGCAGGTTTTTCGGGTTATGGTTATGTTTTATTTAATTTAAAGACAACAGAAAAAATATCAAAGATCTCAATAGAACCATTACCAAATATTTTTACAATGAAAACCATAACAATATCAATATCTAAAGATTCCAATACTTTTGAAACTACAACTGATATTTTTGTGCTACCAACACAAGCCAATCCAACAACAATTGATTTTAATTTGGTTTCTGATGATTTAACGCTTTTCCAATGTGGGCAATGTCCAACTACTTCATCATTTAAGGAAAGTGAATCATCCATTCAATATAGGTATCCTCCAACTTCAGTTTATCCACACAATTCAATTGATACATGTGGTTGTTTTGGTAGATTTTCATTTGATAGCTTTGCATGTATGCCACCATTACCTTCACCTGGTTTTACTCTAGCTTCTGGACCATATAAAACAAATACCCTTGTAAATATAGTTTATAATATTCAAGTTACAACTGGTTATAGCCTTAGATACACTATTGATTCAAGTGATCCATTAGAAACTTCAACATTATTCCCTATTGAACAAGGTATTATGTTTGATAATATTGAAACTGTGGTATTAAAAGTACGTTCATTTAAAAAGGGTCGTTTAACAAGTGATGTAGCTTCAGCAGTTTACTATATTCAAGGTCTTATTAACTGTACTCTTTCACCAATTGGGGGTGATGCTAAAATATACGATGTTAGTGTAACAGTTAAAATCAATTGCGAAACCTCACCCTCATTTAGCAGCATTTCATCATCTTGGATATTTTTTACAACTGATAATAGTGAACCTAATATATTTTCAGATAAATATAATCCAAAGTATGGGGTTACTTTACAATCAAATCCAACAATTGGTATGAACTATATAACTTTTAAAGTTTTATCTCAATTAGAAAAGTATTTTAGTTTTACTGGAGAGTTCCTTTACAAAATTCAACCAACAATTCCACCACCAACATTTACTCCACCAAACCAATTAAATTTTGTAAACTATGTTCCTTTAAAAATATTAGTTCCATCAATTAAAGATAGCGAATCAACTTCAATTTCAACAGAAACTTTTTATCAGAATTATATTATATTTTATGATTTAATACCTCAAGGAGAAACAAACCCCGCACCATTAACAAAGACTTCAGGTATTAAATATAATCTGGACGAATATATTACAGTTGAATGTGGTTACCCCTCAGAGGGCTGTTTGTTACATTTAAGAGCCATCGGTTGTATAAACGAAGCATGCTCGGTTATAACACAAAAGTTCTTTAAGGTATCATTCAATATGACAGAGTTAACACCAGCTATTATACCAAAGTACCAAAGAGAATTCAAAAGCTATCTAATTAAAATTCAAAGTAATTCAAATTTAATGGATCTGGAAACTTTTTATAATTTTAAATTATTACAAAGCGATGCGACTAGTGATGACTCTAAATTACTTAATCAATGTCAAAAAGAAATGAATATTCAATTTGGTGAACCAGTTATAAAATATAATTTACCGTTTAATATTTCATCAAATTTAAAAGGATATTTTTGCGTTTGTTCAAAAAACTTTAAAGTAATTATTGTCTTTTTGAAATTATTTTAATTAAATTAATTTCCAATACTAATAATTTAATTTAGTTTTATAACAATAACTTATTAAGTAGTCTTCAGGTTTGTAAATTATTAGTTTACACAAATCAAATGGATCCACCTATTTTCTTACAGCATGGTGAATATATCGAAAGTAAACTTCAATTAAATATTTATGAGGATATTAGAAATTATAAACATACAGGTTTGTTTAGAGTCGAAGTTAATAATGGCAATCCAACTGAAGAGTCCCAACTTTTAAATTCGAATAATATTATTTTGAATTTATCTCCATCCTTATCATACCAAATGTTTTCTATTAGTGCCATTGATTGTGCAAAAGGTTTTATTTGCTCAGAGCCATCCAACACCTCGATTACATTAAGAGCCACATGTCCAGATCCATATGTTTCAACAGCTCCAGGTATATATTATAGTAATGTTACAGTTTATGGCTATTGTGATGGTGGATGTACACCAGTTTATGAGTATCTTAATTCATCATTATCCAAAGATGAAGAGGCCACACCTTTAAATAGAAACTCACCGGTACTTTCATCAAGTTTATTTTTAACATCACCAACCAATGAAGAAACTATCACTATTCTTTTAATGATGTGTATTGATTCATTGAAAGCAAATAGCAAAACATTAGATTTCCAATATAATGTCCAAAAGTATTATAGACCAAATAAACCAACTATTATACCAGGCCAATCAGGAATTTTAGGTAGTAAAAATTTAATAGAGATGAAATGTAGTTCATTAGACTCGAGGGAGACTTGTTTTATTTTGTTTACCATTAGATATGCAGATTCTATTTCAAATGTACCACTCGAAATTGATGCAATTCCCCAAAATTCAAATTCAAATTCAATGTATTATGACTATAAATATGTTAAACCGTTCAGACCCAATATAGTTGGCCGTTACTATATTGTGGCTATTACAGTTATAAGCAACCCATATTTAAAATACGATTATGCATACTCCACCGAAGCGTCTATCGAAATATCTATTTTCGACACCGCCCCACAAATTGAAATGGTTCCAAATATCTCTTTATTTTATCCAAGTGCCAGTGTATTATTAACATCAAATAAACTTTCAACCGAAGATACAATTTTATATTATATAGCAAATGAAACTGATGAATATTATCACCTAAATACTTCAAACAATCATCCACCATTATCAAAATTTATACCTTTTAACGAAAGCACAACCCTTTTAATTAAATCAACTTGTATTATTTATGCTTTTGTTGAAGGAAAATATTACGATCTAATAACATCCAACTCTATTCAATTCTTTGCATTGGTCTATGATAAGCAAAAAGAAATTATAGACACAGAAAATCAAGATAATCATTCAGACAACAATCTTAAATATTTATCATTTTTAATTTTACTATCTGCTCCAATTTCATATTTAATATATAAATCCTATAATATATTAATGCTTTATAAATATAAAAAACTTTTAAAACTATCAAAAAAAACAGGTTTATTATTAAATAAATATTAAATAAATTTATAATTATTTACATTTTATTTTTTTATTTTAATTTTTTTTAAAACTTATATAATAACTATTTTTTTTTTTTTTGACCTATAGTTTTATTACTTTTTATATTGCTTTTATTTAACAATTTAACAATATTAATAAAACATCTGATATAGTTGTTACTGTCCTTGGTTTAAAGTCGTCTGAAACTGTAAATAATCTTTGAACTTTATAATCACACATTTTTATTATGGCATCTACTAAAGAGGTATCCTCTGAAATTGTAAAGGGTTTTTTAAGACCACCACTCGCTTCTAAATATTCATGAATTGTTTTGAATAATAAATCAAACTTTAAACTTGTAATATTCTAAAATGAATAAAGAGCATAGTTGTTAATATTTTTTAAAAAAAATACATCTGTTACAATAAATAATAATTACCTTTAAATCATCAGATGATAAACAATGAATCAGTTTACCTGATTCATCATCAGTAATAGCAACTCCATTAATTCTATTTGATCTTAATAGAGTGAAAGCGTCTTTGGTTATAGTACTTGAGGGTATTGAAACTACAGGATACATTATTTTTAATTCTTTTACACTTTTTTTTGAATGATTTGATATTTGATGTAAATTCTCTCTAGCTAAATATAAAAAATCAGTTTGAGATAGAATTCCTACTAACTCATTATCGTTATTGAAAACCGGTACTCTATGGACTTTGAATGGGGGACTTTTACTTATTAAAACTTCTAATGCTTGTAATAGAGACATATCTTCTTTTACATATCTCATATCATTTAGTGTTGAAAAGCTGATAACTTGTTTTAATGACTGTTTTAATATATTTGTATGATCTGGACTTAATCCCAATATTTTTCTTCGGTGTAATAAATATGACATGAATGAGAGAATATCTAAAACTCCCACCAAACCTCTATATTTATATTTTTTTTTCTGTATTTTTGGTGAGTTTCCAATACTTTCTGTTGAACTCCCCAAACTATTGTTTAATTTATTGCCGTTACCATTTAAATTATTTGTTGGGGTGGTTGGGTTATTATTTACATTATGGTGGGTATTGTGATTATGACCATGGTGATATGGGGATGATGATTTTTTTGCTGCTCCTTTAATGTGATGTTGATTATGATATTGATGATTATGGATGTGGGAACTCCTGGATACACTTCCACTTCGATAAAAATTTTTCTTCCTCGCACTGCTACACCCATTTGTAGTACCATTGCTACCTGAACTATTTGCGCTACCAACACTATCTGAACTACTATTTAAATCTTCTTTTTTAACTACCTTTAATTCACTTGGACTAATAACATGAATATTTGAATGACCTTCTTCATTTTCATCATAATTTGAACTTGTTTCACTATCACTGCTTTCAGTATCATGAAAATCGTCATCTGGTGATCCAATTTCATCATCCTCCTCCATTACTGGACTTGAAGCAACTTCATTCTCTGATAATATCTAAGTTTTCTATATTAGTAATTATGCTTTAGATTTTTTAATTTTAAAAACTATATACTTACATATAATGAGTCTTCTAAAGAGGTGTTTATATTTACTGCAACTAAATCTGAGGGTATTTTGTTTCTGTACGATTTATTTATATCTTTTTTATAAATGAGAAAGTTTTTAACAGTTCTCCCATTTAAAAAACTCGTCCATTTTGAACATACAATAAATACTTGAGTGGGGTTAATATAGCTTTGTTTTATTAATGAAAAAACTGGAGGTGAAACACTACTGTTACAATTAACTATTATTTTATTTAAGTGAGAGTTTGGACTATTTAAATTGCCATTATTATTGTCATTATTGTTGCTATTATTATTATTTGAAGTCGATTTTGATGAAGTTGAATCTTCGCTATTATTATCACTAATTGAAAGATTTTCTAAATTTAATCTATCATCTTTTTCTTTTGTTGTTATATTATTCATAATACTACTCATTAAGGATATATATTAATACTAAACGATTAAAATAAACATGAAATTAAAAATAAATAAATAGAATTTTTGGTGTATGAAAAAAAATATTAATTGAATATAGAAATTAATAAAACTATTATTTTATTAATTATTAAAAATGATTTTTAATAATATATTATAAGTAGAGTAATAAATTAATTTATTTATTTATATATATAAAAAAAAAAAGAAATAATTTAAAATTTTTTAATTATTTTGGGTGGGGTATAAAATTAATTTTAAATTAAATTAAATTTTTTCAAAATATTTTTTTTTTATTTTTTTATTTTTTTTTTAAAAATAATTAAATTAAATTATAAAAAAAAATAAAAAAATAACCATTAAAAAACTTCACTCTTTTCTGTATATTATAAATAAAATAATCATCATTAAAAAATAATTATTTTTAATCTTTTATTTTACATTTAACACGATTTTATCAAATGAAGAGATACTCACCTCATAAATGAGAAATAGGAGAATTTATTATATATATTTACATTTATAATGCTCAGTTATTTATTATTAACTAAATTATTATATATAATAGAATTAAAAAAAAAATGAAAACGTTATATAGATAGAAACCTACCCATTAAAGTAATTAATTGGTATTAGGAACAGTATTTCAATGGAATTGTTGAGTCATAAAATAAATAGATAATATTTAGAAAAGCATTGAAATTGAATTAGCACAGTTTTAAATACTCTTTGAAATAAAAAAGAACTAAAATAAACCCAACAGGTTGGCTGTTGGATAAAAACCTGTATTTTTTGCTTTTATAAATGTTATAACATTCTTTTTTGAACATTAATCTGAATATTTGACTTTTAATATAATGATTTACTATTTGAAAAAAATTTCTTAAAAAATTTATTTCACGAAAAAAAAATAAATAATTTAAAAAGGA